GGTTGGGGGTCGACTATACATCTTCATGGTGAGTCTGGGTTTTCTTGGCTCTGGCGCAGAATTTTTCACATAGTTTGAGGAGCTCTGACAAAATGAACACGGATGAGGCCAATCCAGTTAAAAGCAGCAAATCTACGAGAAGGTAAAAAGTGAAAAGGGTCAGAGAGCCCAGGTTGCACCCCCTGGTCACCAGCTCCTCTCTGCCCCCAGAATCGGGGCAGTGCCCAGCATGGTGGTGGCTGTGGGTCTACCATGCAGCTCTTGGGAACCTTGTCCTGAGTTAGACAGAGACAGGCGAAGGGGCTGGGACCAGCCCTTTCCATTTCCCTGAGGGGGTGGAGATTTTTGGGAGCCCAGCTCCACAAGGACCCACAGCCTCTACAAGTAGTTCAGGGCAAGAGGCAGATGTGCTGGGCAGGGCGCATGTTACCAAGGTCAGCTGTAATGGACACTAGCCCCCTATCTCTCCTTAGGGCAGATGCCCCCAGCCCACCCTGACTCATTCTAATGGGTTAATTTTCAAAGTCTTCCCTGGACCCCACTGTATCTTATTGTTTGGAACCATCTCTGCTCTCTGTTGTCAACAGGGAGTGATTAAACACCACGCCCAAGCACAGTCACCATGTTTCCTTCAGATGTGGTGAGCTGGCTTAATTCCCAGTGAATGGAAACATCCACTAACATTTGGGGGGGATCCTTTTTTCAGAGCCCATAGGGCACTCACAGGAGACCCACATGGACACTGCTTTTTGAATGCTGGAAGGAAAGAGCTCACATTCCCTAGTCTTGCTGGGATGTTTTTAGCGCCATAGCCTCCGAGGCCTCAGACCTCCACGCTCTGGCTCGGGGCTGCCTCACCAGCCAGCCTGCCCTGGGGCGGGGCTGGCCAATGGAAAGCTTGGGCAAGAAGGAAGGGAGGAGGAGGGACGGGTACTTGCTCCCGAGCCCTCCAAGTCACCGTCGCTCTCTAGGCAACTTCCTCCCCTTCAGGACCCAGCCCTCCTCCCACTTGACTGTCATCACAGCTTCAGGCCAAGGAGGCCAAGCCACCCTGGGCAGCTTCCAAAGGAAGAGTGGGGGTCTGCGGGAAGCTTTGTCGAGGATGGAGCTGCACCAGGGAGTGTGTGGTCGGCCCCCAGAGAGATGGTCATTAAATAGTGTCCCTTTCAGCAAGCACTACTGGATGGCCACCTCCCTGCCTTCAGGTAGGCAGCTGTCCGAGTCACACTGGCCCCTGTGAAAATCTCCCACTGTCTATGGGGGCAGACACACTCCTCAGCTGAGGCATGCAACGTGTCACAGGCTGAGCCCAGACTGTCACTGTACCTGCTGTCTGCACTCTGGGTTCTCCACACCCCCTATCACATGGCCCTCCTAACCAGTGCAGGCACAAGCCTGGTGCTTTGGGGATGGAAAGGCCCCAGGTTGGGACTTAGCAGCCCCACTCCGCAGGTGTGTGATGGCCCTGGCCTCGGGTCCCTTCCTACTCACCGAGCACTCCCAGGTTCTCTGTCTGGAAGATCTTCTGCAGGGGCGGGATGTAAATCACGGCCAGCTGCCCTAGAATTGACCCGAGCACGGAGTAGAGGAACATGTGGTTCCGGAGGAAGCCAATCTCGAATATCA